CAATTTTGCAAAGCTTCAGTCTATCTTACGCATGTCACATTTTATACACACTGTTAGGACGCTTTATTATTTTTCATTTATCACGCTTATATTACACCTTTTTATAGCACAGTTTTGGCGATCACTCAACTGTTTAAGCACATTTTAGATATATCTCGCTTGTGTTGTGGTAAAACCTTTATTTAAAAGATGAGGTAGATTACATCTTATGTATCGCTTCTCGGCAATCCCCGTCGTGGAGTTGACAGTTCCGGTATTTTTCTTAATAAAATACATGACATTAGTATTAATATTATTATTAGGATATTTATTTATTGATTAAATAAATTTAAAAGACTTCAGAGGTCACCAAAAACAACAGAAGGTGGCAAGAAACAGTGTGCAAACAATGTGAAATATCAAAAGGATTTCCCTTTAGAAAATTGTCCAGTGATTATTCACACTTGTAAATTTTTGGTTTTGCACATTGTTTCATGTTCCATTTCCCACCCTCTGCACATTGTTCACAAATAATTTCGCACACTTTTTGCACATTTAATTTTCGCCAGGGCTATACGGTATCAGGTAAAATGGGTAAAATTATTTTATTGGCATTGTAAATAAAAATTATAATACTACATAATAATTATGTATTATCATGATAAAAATAAAATAAACACAAATTTAGGTAAAATATTAGATATTATTTATATTATATTTATTGTATAATTAGGTGGATATTTTAATTTACACATAATATGTATAATATACATAATATTTATTATTAAATTAAACTTTTTTACAATTTGTTTGTAAAATTCAAATGATATTAATCATAAGATAGATATTATTTATTTTATATTTATTATATTACTAGTTACATATTTTAATTTATACATAATAGTTTAATATATAAATTATTTAGTTTTAAATTAAACTTTTTTATATTTTGGAAAATTAAAATGATAAAATTATAAATTAAAAAACTTCAGTACCCCTTGAAAATCCCTAGATGTAATGCCCACTATATTCCCAGGATGTCCCACCTATCTCTATACCTAAAGCGATCAAAAAGCGAAGGATAATTATTAAACAGCCTTCAGTTGTGAAAAAGCGTCAAAAAATAGATAAACTTCCTAATAAATGGAAAAATTCAAAAAAACGTGGACAATTTTAAGCTTTACAAAAAATAAAAAAGTATTATTTTTTTCTGTTTTTTCAAAAGTTAGGTGATATTACCAAAGTGAAAAAAGCAAACTTGGAAAATACTTAGTCATTTATTCCTTCGTATATTTTCTAGCTCCTTATATGAATTTTATGTACCTATGTTAATATTTTTAAAAGTCATCAACGTCTTTTTAACGACCTTTTAAATAAATGTATATGTCCTGAATTGCCTTACATTTTTTTTCCAAAATATTTTGTGTGAAAATAATAATCATTGAAATAAAAATCTTCTCCTAAAATTGTTTATGTTTGCAAATAATTTTTTCTACCTCAAAGATTATTATTTTTGCCATTACCAAATTAATTTTTAAAAAATACGTATTTTTGAGTCACTCATGCTAATAAATAAAATTTAGAAATGTTTATCGTTTCACTGTCCCATCATCTTTTATAAGTTTTATTGGTAAATTAGTATTGTTAGGTAATTGTTTATCCTAAAATGTGCCCGTCAAACTTTGTATATATAGAAAAATATGTAGAAAAATAGACTTATTTTGATATGTACCTACATGACGTTAGCAAAGTTTCGCCAGCTACTTTTGGGACATCCTGTATAGCTTTAAAAAATATTTTTTTGTTTTTCCATGTTAGAAGAAAATGTTTATTATATAAAAAGGCATTAAAGCCTTATATAACAAATTATTAAAAGTATTGGAGACTTTTTTATCAAAGTTGGAGAATTCTGTTGAATTTTTGTTTAGGTTTTTGAGAATTTTAACATTTTACTGTTGGTAACAATGATTACCAGTCTTATGTAGTATCATGATTTAGATACTATAAACAAAATGTTACCAAGAGGAAATGCGACGTCAAGTTTCTTGGCTTTTTCAAAAGACCACACAAGGGGCCGAGGACTGCGTCATATTTTTTCTATATTTAAAACGATGTGGCTCCCGTCCCGAGGCGGGACTTAACTTCGATCCCGACAGACGTCACACACTGTAAATCCGTTTTTATTCCCCGAGCTTTTATAATTGGTGTCAAGCTGGATGGCTTAGATGGTAGGGCGGTCGCTTGGCATGCGAGAGGTACCGGGTTCGATTCTACTAGAAGTTGTCAAACTTTTTTTATTTTTTTTTATTTTATAAATTTGTTGTTTCTTTGTTAAAAAGTGTTTTATTTTTATCGTAACATAAATTTGCCCATTTTAGTTGGGTTTTTTGCTCAATGGGGCGGGGGGGGCCAATGGGGCGGGGTCGGTTGGGTTGTGTTGTTGAGTTTGGGTTGGTTTGGTTTTATGACGTAACTAACGTGCCCTTAACATGTATACAGGTACAATTTATTATTATTATTATTTTATTATAACATAACAAATCTTAAATTATGACGTCAATCGGGACTGAACTTAAGTCCCGCCTCGGGACGGGAGCCACAGCGTATTTAAAAAGGGCTACTTAGTTTTCTCTGTAAGAGTGGCAGAGAGCTCTTATTATTTGATTTAGTTATTCATTAGCATTCAACCGAGTATCATCTCTGTATTAATAAAATAAATACATCTCATTTTATTAAGTTGTGTTTATTGAACAACGTTCCTGTTGCACCAAAATCCAGTCAACCAAATTCGCATACGTACTTAAGCTCAGCACAAAAATTTAGATGTTTTGATTTTGTAAGAAAATTGTCCAGGGTAAATTGTAATCAGGATATTTTTAACCGCCTTCTACTTAGTTATTTCGAATTTTTATTTTTTTTATTTTTATATTTTATGTGGATTTATTTGATCTTGTACCTGCCACTGCAACTGCTTCACATGTTCCATAAAATGTACTTTGTCGAAGGAAGAAAGAAATTATTATTATTTTTAATATTATTATTATTATTATTATTATTAAATGTACAGAAAAACATTATAAAAATTATACAGGGTATTTCGAAATATAGGTCAACATCTTTGGAGTGGTTTTTTGTTTTGGATTAATAATTTAACAGTTCCATCAAAATTTTATGCTAATTAATATATAAAATAATTTACCTACTTAATTTGAAAAACAAAATAAAAATTAATAAAATTTATTTAATATTATACTTTTTAAAAGAAGTAGGAAGAATATGTAAAAATGTAAACAACTAAAATATAAATAAATAAATTAAATGAAATCTTTTTCCAAGAAAAAAAATAATCCCAAAGAGTGATAAAAATATTTAAAATAATATATATATTTTTTGTATTCTTAATAAATAAAAGTTGTTTATTTCAAATAAAAATTTAAGCACGTTAAATTCCTTTTTAATAACACATATTAAATTGTTGGTTTTATCATATGTTTTAGTCATTAGGTGAATTTGTAAGTTAATAATGCATAAGTAGTTGGAATTATATCTACTATTCCGTGTATTTAAACAATAATATATATGTCTACCTAAATGTGTCATACATGTGTAGGTATTTATGGTCTTTTTATTTTGACGATCCTTACATATGTACCTACATATAGTGTCATAAGCAAATTAATTAATTATTATAAAATATATGGAAATATGTTCATTGCAGAAGATATATTTTGGGATAATTAATTTACTTACACTATTTATTTTGGTCAATTGACCAAAAACAATTTGACCGGTCAATTCCACAACCCTACAAGTGAGCACGTGTAAAGTGTGTGAATTTTTTTGTAAATATTTTAAAGGTAAGATTTTTTTGCGTACACTTTTTGGTGTCTTTTACAAAACGCTACATACAACTCTTGTTTTAGAAGTTAACTTTTTTATTTTCATTTTGTATTATAGCATAGTAGAAATGCCAAACAAATGCCGAAAGATATTTACATTTAACAGTATTTCTAAAAAATAACGCCTGAAAAATTCAAAAGCAATGTGTCATAAAACGTTCAGGAAGATGCGTTAGGAGGAGGACAATGTTTAATTTCTTCCTTGTGTTCTTTCCCTATTTCAGATTAACCCTATAAGTTTTATTTCTTTAAAGTTTATTTTTGTTATTTATAAACTTATAGAATTTTTTTGCAGTCTATTACACTGTTCTATCACAAAGGAAAAAAAATCGATCAAATTGACCTGTCTGGACAAAATATATATACAAAATGTACATTTAACGAAAATTCGCTATCTATAGCTATGGGTATAGCGGAAAGAAGTTGGATTCATTGCTAGGAGACATTTGCTTGAATTTGCAGCAAAAGATGTACGACGATGAAGAGGATTAGCACAATAATCCAATTTGATATTTGATACGATTTAATAAATTTAAGGTAGAAAAAAGCAAAATTATGTATTAAATTTTGAGGGCTTAATTTGGATAAAAAATACTGAAACTTGTTTACTTTGTTGCCCTTTCAATTTAATAATTAAAATAAACGACAAATAATGGTTGTTTTTTTTACATAAAATACATTAAAGTTTTAGTTTTAGTATTTAAAATGTCATATTGTTAAGATAAATATGATCAATTTGCCGTATACCAATTACTTTAGTACATTCAAGATAAATTTAAGTTAAAATAATTTAATAAATAATTAAAATATCAACAAAAAACTTACATTTTGAGGTGATTAAGCAGATCATTTTATTACGAAATTATTTTAAATCCTAGACGTCCTAGAGAAAAACTAATGATATTTTTGAAATCAGCGGCCCAAAATTAGTTAAACTAAGCTGGAGTAGGTACTTAATGTTAGGAAAAAAGTTTGTAAAACTATCATAATGTTTTTATAAGTTATAACAATTGTTTTTAGAAATGTAACAATATACAAATCATTTAAAATTGATATATCTAAAATGTTTTCTCCTTTTAAAGCAACCGGTGATTATTATCTAAATATAAACAAAATACTTACTAATATATTATTGTCAAAACAAGTAAGTCAGGACACAGGCATATACATCTACTGTATACGTATCGATGTTTTTAATTGGCTCGATGGGCTGTCAGCATCTTAAAATTTTGAAAATCAAAGAAACCCCTGTAAATGTATCGCGCACACACAAAAGGCAAACCGGTCGGTCACAGTGTACACGAGACTGTTGGGAAAATCGATTTTCCGGCTGAGATTTCCACGCGGAAATAAGCGACCGATTCAAAATACTGGCAACGTTTTGGTGTCTCGGCGTGCGTTGACAGACTGATGCTAGGCAAAATATTAATGCAAAATGATAAGCAATCAAGCGTGCATGTTAAAATTTAAATAAACAAAGTGTTTATGATTGGCGCTGATTAGTGTTAAGCAAGGGGACGAGGCATTATGAATGGATACACCGTTTCGCGTACTCAGCTTCATGGTTTAGTTTAATCTAGTCAAGGTTTCTTTATCTAGACGCCGCGCTCGATTTAAAATAGTTTATTTTGTATAAGTAAAATAGTAAAATAGTTTATTTTGTATAAGTACTTAGGTACCTACAATTGGCGTCTCCGAAATGTGAACGATTTTTTGTTGTCATGGATTTTTTTCATAAAATTTATTCGTTCATTCCTGGCTTCGGCCAGTGGTGTTACATTTAGAAGGGAGAATACTAAGAATAAGAACAATATCCTAAATCGTTCTATTTTTTTAATAATATTTTAACAAACAATAATATAAACAATATAACAAATAAATTAACTTTAATTTGGTTTTATAAAACAATATAAATTAACAAGTAGGTAAATACACAATAAAAATAACATAACTAAATTAAATCGTTCTATTTTTTTAATAATATTTTAATAAACAATAATATAAACAATATAACAAATAAATTAACTTTAATTTGGTTTTATACAACAATATAAATGAACAAGTGGGTAAATACACAATAATAATAACATAACTAAATTAACATATTCCTCAAGAAAATTGGTTTTTAAGTGAAATAGCTGCAGATTTAAATGTCAGTAAAAGCTGCATATTTTATATCAAAAAACGTTGGCAAGAACAACAAAGATTGAGAAGACCTATCAGGCAATGTGTAGGTAAAATCTCCAACGAAAATGAAGACAATGCACTTGTCGCACTTATTAGGCAAAATCCTTTCAATAGCGCAGTTAAGGCCCGAGAAGATACACAATTTCCAGGATCTCTTCGAACAGCTCAAAAAAAATTGAAACAAGCTGGTTTAAAAAACTGTGCTGCTCCTCATAAGGTTTTTTTAACTGACGAAAATAAGCGCAGGAGAGTCCAGTTCGCCAATGACTATTTAAATTATGGAGACGATTTTTGGAATAATGTTATATTTTCGAATGAAAAAACGTTCCAATCTTGCAATAATGGAAGGCTGCGTGTATATCGTCCAAGAATCGCAAGATTTGGGGAGAACTATACATTAAGAACCTCAAATAGTGGACGCTTTTCCATAAATGTTTGGGCGTGGATAAGCATCCATGGTCCGGGAGTATGTTGGGAAATTGATGGTAGATTAACGGCTGAGCACTATACGAGGATTTTGGATAACGTTATGCTACCTTCAGTTAGACATGTGTTTCCAGAAAACTTTATATTCCAACATGTAAGAAAACTGTATAGTATTCAAAAACGATTCTAATAAATATTATATTACAGGACAATGCACAAGTTCCCACAGCTCGCGAGGTTACAGAGTGGGTAAACAACAACCACATAACTGTTTTGCCATGGCCAGCTAGAAGCCCTGACTTAAACCCCATTGAAAACGTGTGGGGTTTTATAGTTAAAAAGATATATCAACGGGACTTTAGGCCAGCAAACCGAGATGAACTATGGAGTGCTGTTGAAAATTCTTGGGATGAGCTTGCTGAGTCATACGACATGCGTGAGCTAATAATGTCCATGCCAAGAAGGTTGCAAAGGGTTGTGGCAGCTAATGGCTCTGCAATTAAGTATTAAAGTATTAAAATAGCTTAGCAGCAGTTTTTTAAGCCAGCTTGTTTCAATCTTTTTTGAGCTGTTCGAAGAGATCCTGGAAATTGTGTATCTTCTCGGGCCTTAAATCATTCATTTTCGTTGGAGATTTTTCCTACACCTTGCCTGATAGGTCTTCTTAATCTTTGTTGTTCTTGCCAACGTTTTTTGATATAAAATATGCAGCTTTTACTGACATTTAAATCTGCAGCTACTTCACTTAAAGACCAATTTTCTTCTAATTTGGCTATTGCCCCGGACCTCTGAGTCTCGGTTAAGTAGGGTGGTATTTTTAATATTGCAATTGACAACTATTATCAAATTTGACAAGGACCGACGACACTGATGCAAAGCCCATATTACACGATTAAATTTTGCCGTTCACATTTAAAATGAAATACAATAATAATTATAAAGGGTGTTTCATTGGCAAACGGACATAATTTAAGTGTAGGAACCACCGAGAGGGTTCTAAAAAACCCACATTTGATGGGTCTATCGCCCTTTATTTCAGAAATACAGGGTGATTCATCAATTTTGTTCATTTCTTTAATTGCTCATAACTTTTAAACGGCTTCGTATTTTTTTCTCAAAATTGATATACGGATTAAGGGTTGCCTACCTAATAAGTAGATATACCAAGTTGCAAAAAATTCCAGGTCCGGCTTGGCCAAAATTTTCGAAATTCTGTGTACCCTCAAAAATCCTGTACAGTTGTATTCAATAAAAAAGCGTACAAGAATTAGAATGAGAGAAAACTGTCAAAATAATATTATTGCTTAAAACCGGCTTATCACTGACATAAGTCATTAAAATAATTATTATAGGTTATAAAGAGCATTGACGTCGTAGGTTAATTAAATAATATTACAAAAATTATTACCTTTTAATAATAAAAAAACAAACATTAAAAAATATTTAATATTTAGTCATGCATCCCTGTTTTTCTATTACTTGAGCCAATCTATTTGGGATGAACTGAATTAAATTTAATACAATATTTGAATTAATATCTTCCCAGCAGTATAGTAGGTATAGTAGTTGTATATAGTGATGCCGCGAGACGAGACGAGACGAGAAAAGTCCTTCTCTCGTCTCGTCTCGTGCAGCGAGAGAAAATGGGTCTCTCGTCTCGTCGAGAATACTCTTTTCTCGCTCGAGAGTGCCTTCCTCTCGTCTCGTCTCGTTTCTCTCGTGGTAAAAGTACCTAAGTATGAATACAAAAATTATTTGGAATGAAATACGAATTCGTTTATATTTTTTTATATAGAAATAAAAAAAAAATGTGTGCCAAGACCACACTAATAAAGTAAGACTTTTTACGCCGAAAATGTTGCGCATTTGAATCAAATGGTTGGATCTATGTGGAGTAGTTACATCTAGTATTATATAATACTAGATGTAACTACTCCACATCCATTTGATTCAAATGCGCAACATTTTCGGCGTAAAAAGTCTTACTTTATTATATAATACTAGATGTAACTACTCCACATAGATCCAACCATTTGATTCAAATGCGCAACATTTTCGGCGTAAAAAGTCTTACTTTATTAGTGTGGTCTTGGCACATATTATTTTTTATGTGTATATACTTACACCTATAATAGGTGTTTCTTTTAACTTGAGACAGCTCAATATCTCGTGAAATACGCATTTCACAGAAAAATGTCTTAAATAAAAGGTTAATGTGACCAAAGGGGACATTATTTGGTACTAGTGCTAGCCACCCCCTACCCCTTCTTAAGGGTGAAACGGGGGGTAACTTTAGAAAGTCAAATGGAATGACCCGATTTTTTTACAGATTTTGGTAGTAAATAAAAAAATAAATAACTTTTATTTGAAACTTTTTTTCAATTTATCAACAGATGGCGCTGTAATTCAAAATTTAAGAAAATTGGGTTTATTAAATCAACAATAGTCGGCTCTGAAAACAATTTATAACAAATGTTCAAAATGTCATCCTTTTATTTCGACACATTTTTGAATGCGGGTAATGAATTCTGGCTCCACCATGTCCTCCCGAGTTGTAGGAATTGCAGCGTAAACTTTTTCTTTCAAGTAACCCCACAGGAAGAAGTCGGGCAGATCGTTTTCTAGAAAATTCCGGTAATTTTCACCATTTAATGCCGTTCGCCAAAGGTACCGCACCAAACGTTTACCGACCAGGGACGCTGGTGCTCCACTTGGTGTCGAAATGGAAGGACGACATTTCGAACATTTGTTATAAATTGTTTTCAGAGCCGAATATTGTTGATTTAATGTTATTTTTTGTTTTTCAAACGTTTCAAATAATACATTTTACAGGGAAACCCATTTTTCTTAAATTTTGAATTACAGCGCCATCTGTTGATAAATTGAAAAAAGTTTTAAATAAAAGTTATTAATTTTTTTATGTACTACCTAAATCTGTAAAAAAAAAGGGTTATTCCATTTGACTCTCCAGTTACCCCCCGTTTCACTCTTAAGGAGGGGTAGGGGGGTGGCTAGCGGTAGCACCAAATAATGTCCCCTTTGGTCACATTAACCTTTTATTTAAAACATTTTTCCGTTAAATGCGTATTTCTCGAGATATTGAGCTGTCTCAAGTTAAAAGAAACAGCCTCCTGTATCGGCGCAGTAGTTTTCACGGACATGCGCAGTAGGTACAAGATGGTTGAATCTATGTGGAGTAGATCAAATGATTTGATCCATCTGAAAACTACTGCGCATATATGATGTAACTACTCCACATAGATCCAACCATCTTGTACCTACTGCGCATGTCCGTCATTTTGAATCCGCAATTTTGTTTTTTTTAATGGATATCAAATTCTAAATCACGGACGCCATAAATATCTGAATACGTCATATTGGATCAGCCATTTTATTAAAAAAAAATGGATATCAAATTTGTAATCAGGCCCTTAAAAACCACATGTTGTTGTTAAGTTTATTGAATAAGCAATGCTTATTAAGCATACGGGTTTTTTTAATAGTATAAGGAGTGCCATAGATGTGCTTATACAGGGTAAATTTTAAAAATTAATATTTTATAAGTAATTTTTTCTTGGTTAACGTTAAGTTTTGTTATAAAATAATACAACGTTAACCAGGAACAAATTTTGTTTATTATGAAATGGTCCAAATAAATATCGTCATTTATGTGCAAAATTATAATTTTTATGTAAAAAAAATTGTTTTTTATAATCGAGAGAACGAGAGAGATCGAGAGAAACGAGAAATTCTCGAGCGAGAGAGGGCATTCTCTCGTCTCGTCTCGAGCCTTTTTTCGAGAGAAAATCGCCCTCTCGTCTCGTCGAGACGAGACGAGACGAGACGAGAGGCGAGAATCTCTCGTATCGGCGGCATCACTAGTTGTATAGTTTCCCATAAATCCTCAGATATCTCAAAAAAGCAGCATCCTGTTCAGGGGTGGACATTTTGGGACGACTTGAACCAACTT